TGGACATTTATTGGACGGTCTACTGTGCACCAGGCACTGTGGTAGCTACTGTGGAGACCAAGTCAATGAGAAATGGTCTCCATCTTCAAGAAGCACCCACATCACCACCCCTTCTCCTCGCCCAGCACAGTGCCTTCCTGTTCACTTCTCTTCTCCCATGAAACCTGCTCCCAGGAAAGCAACTGATAAATGAGGCTATAATGAGCTGTACTCAGCTGAGTATGTGAGTAAGTAGGTGCCTGTCAGTTGTCTCTATCTGCTCTATTCCAGCAATGGACCACTATCCTGCCCCCCCACCCCAGCTCACCCTCCCACCCTTCCCTACCCCAAAGTGTTAGCTTGACACATGACTGCCCTGCCAGAGGCTGTATTTCCCAACCTACCTGGCAGCTAAATACTGTTCATGTGATTGTGGCCAGTTGATGTGGCAACTTCGGGACCACACCTCCTCTTCCTCTTGGAGTATAGTGGCATGCAACGTTTGCTCACAGCAATGAGGGCAACCCCTGATGGTTGGTAAAGCAACAAGATGGAGGGAAACACCAAGCCTGTGGACCACTTCCTAGAGCAGAACATCCTACCCTCACAAATCTCCCACCAATTTGTAAGACTTTTGCATAAGAGAGGAACTTCTAACTTCTCTAATCCATGGAAATTGGGCTTTTGTTAGAGTAGCCAAATCAATATCCTAGCTAACATAGTGACTCTGGCTCCCTGAAGTTTGGAAGCAAATACCTCAAGTAGGAGCTTTATTAGAGTTCCTGAAATCCTAACTGGAGACCAGCCCAAGCTGGCTATCCAGCATGTTTAGAACAATGGCCTCACACCCTCTGATATCCCAAAGCATCTTTCCATTTTTAACACAGTTTGTTGGGACAGTATTGTATTTTACCGTGTAGTATGTATCTTGGGCCATATGGCTAGTTCAACCTTAATAACAATAGGCAAGACAGGTCCATTCTTCAGCCAGTGATCTAAGCAGTTTACTGTAAATTTATGAGATGCATTGCTGAAGTAGTTATCTTACTTACAGATGAGGTATAAAAACCCATTAGAGACTTTCCTAAGAGCCCAGAGCTAACAGAAACTCAGACTTACCATCCTTAGTCACCTGACATTCAATAGCCTTAAAGCCTAATGGCCCATAACAAAGAGGAGACTGAGGGGCACAACAAATGTATCATGATTCTTTATACTTTACACATTATTCCTATCTTCTGTATCTTCTCAATATTTAACAAAATGTTTTAAAAAGAGAGAGAAAGCTATTGAAATTTCCCCAAATAAAGAATGGTTCTCACTCCTTGGAGATTAGGGTGCTCTGGCACCTACCAGGGAATAATCCTTTTTCCTTTCTTTTATAGTAGTTGTAAAAAGGACGATTAAGCCACAGAAATGTTAGTGCAAAAGAAAGGAAGTTGTGTAAAGATCAAAATCACACAGGTAAGAGAATGTTTAGAAACAACCAGTATTTGGAAGTCAGCGGATACAGGTTCAAAGCAGTTCTTGTAAAAATAATCAACGACTGAGAAACTTTTAAAATGCCACATAGCCATTGGTTTCTAAAGTATAAAAGTAAATAAAAATGAAAACAATAATATTTTTAAAAACTCTCACTGCTGATTAACATCTCAGCTTACTAACAAAATAATGGAGAGCTTCTTCCACCATGATGGATAATTGCATGGAAATTTGTAAATACCAGACCACAGGGCTTGACTAATGACTACTGGACATAATGCCCACTGTGTGGGGGAAAGATTCAAATGTGGGGCCTTCATGCCATTTTGTCTTTGAACCTGAAAAATCACACCCCCCCCCCCCACACACACACAAGGAAACAAAGGAGGATAAATATGGTCCAGGAGGAGATGGTAAGGCATGACTAATGAGGGAGAAAGCTGAAAGTTGACAAATAATGGGAAAATTCAGGCTATCTTTGAAGAATCATGTGTTTTCCCCCAACTGAGGCAGGAATGGAGAAACTATTGGTCTTCAGGTCGAAAGACCCAGATTTGAGTTCCAACTCAGCCCTGGACTTCTCTGAGTTGACTTCTACTTGGTAAAATGCACAAATACTTATGAATGGATGCTCTAATAACCTTAGGAGGCTGTGTGAAGAGGCAGGATGATATTTGAGAAAACGTCTCAGTGTTCTCCTGTGCCACTCGTGTGATGAGATTTATGCCAAGACACAATGTGTATTACGACTCACAAGTCTTGTTTATAAGTTTAGCAAAAGAGAACTCTTTTGGTTCACACAACGGTGGCAGTAGTCATCAGAGCTAATCACAAATATTTCATTTCTCTTCCCTCCCAGCACATGGTAAGCATGAACTTCTCTGCCCTCTTCATAGTTAGGTGTGTTCACGTGAGTTGCCTGTCACTTCTGGGTGCTTTAAGATCATGGGTACAACCTGCCACAGTCCCTCGCTCTGCCTTGGTTATTGTGGAGGCAAGTGTTAAAATCATCGTTCTGGGCCTCTTAGTGACTACAGTGAGAATACTATCCTCCGCCTCCAACCTATATCAGATGTACAGTACTGGCAAATAAACTTTTAAAACTTTTAAAAGCCACTGCAACCTTGGATTGTTTGTTACTGCAGCATAACCTAATATTGACTATATAGCCTTATATTCTGTATTCTTGACACTCTAGCATTTGCAGCCTTGATCCAAAGAGGCCACCCCTCCTAGGGCTAGCTAATTCTAGAGAGAGTAAATGACTCGCCTGCAAGCATGCCTTTGATGTACAAACCAACCAATCCAGAGCCCACACCCCCAACTACCTCTTTTATCAAACTCTCGCACACTAAATCAATATTCCCCCTAAGTCACCCTAGGGTCAGATACTGGAGACCACCCCTATAGCTCAGAACCCACCCAGATTAAAATTAACCCTAAACTAACCCAGTGTGCCTACCCTGCCTCAACCATTCCTTCCTGTGAAGAGGCCACTACAGGCCCTGGGCCATGCTCTTCCCTGTCTGCCTCCTAGAGGCATCTTCCTTCAAGACCATCACTTCCATGTCTGTTTCAGCATTCCTGATGAAAACAAATCCCACATATACATTCAGAACAACTGGTCCAGTGAGCAGAATTGCTTAACGCTGCCCTTAGACTGCTCTTGACTTCCCACCTGGATCCGACATCAGCCACTGCTTGGAAAGGCACGACTAGGTATAGTAGGACTTGCCACATGATGGCTACTGCACTGTGTTATTTTTTTGTCAGGTGTTGCCTGCCATAAATTTCCAACATAAAATTGTGAAGCTTAAAAAGCTGAGTCCTCCTCCAGCTGCCTTATAAGCAGGATACTTATTTCTCCATGTTGGTGGAGTGCCAGAATCCAGGACAGATCACCTTGGGTTACACAGGTAACAGGCTACACCAGTTTCTCAAAAGGTCCCTCTTGGGGGACGAACAGTGACCACCCTCCTAGTGCCAAGGGACAAGTCTGACCCACTGACAGATATAGGGGGATAAAAGCACATGAGATGAAGGGTAGTAAACACATTGACTTCTCCAGTTATTTAACGAATGCCCTCTGTCATATGCCCAGATGGCTCTAATCAGAAAGACCTGGGTAGGGGGATGTCCAACTGCCCCAACACCTATGCTGGGCTCCTTGCTTCAAGTTAGTTTCTTATGAATGCCCGTAAGAGGCCAAGAGAACAGGGACTTGACATGGATGTAAGGGGTTCCCTCCCTGGCGACCAGTGACTCATGTTTAATAAAAAAGGGAAAGGAAGAGGAGCATCTGGCTCCAGTTTCCAAAAGCCCTGAAGATGTGGTCTTTTCCCATGTGGCCCCGTTTGGCTGTTTCTAGGGCTCTGTGAATATCAACATCTTCCTCCTAGCAATCATTTTCATACCTGTGGGGTCCAGATGGCCTCTCCAACTACAGATGGGCTTTCTCTGTGTGAAGGAAGATGGACCTTAGCACCCATCACTGGCCTCACTATCAGAGCCTAGAGGCAAGAGATTGTTTTCTCTGCTAATTCCAGCAGAGAGAGCCCCAGGGAAAGATTCAGGTGAGCCAACTGGAGTCATGTACATTCACAAGACAATGTCTGTGGCACATGATCAGGAGAACCAGATGTTCACCCTTACTGCTGGGTGGGTAGAATATGCTGGATAGCCAGCACAGGTGTTCCCTTTTGTGGATGAAGTTTGAATAGCTAAACCTTGCCACACCCTAAGAAAGGGGCAGTTTGCGTATAGCTGCTTCATCACACAAAGTACTCCTGGAAAACCAGACAAGCACTGGATGAAAGAACTTCCTTTGAGATCAACAGGGAAGAGCTAGAAGACCCTCCTGAAATAGGGTCAGGTCTGTAAACAATCCATCATCACTAACAGTAGAAGACAAACCCCTTACACAAGCACATGAAATGAAGGGTAGTACACACGTATTGACTTCTCCAGTCATTTATCGAATGCCCTCTATGTCGTGCACTCAGATGGCTCTAATCAGATAGATCTGGGTAGGGGGATGTCCATCTGCTCCAACACCTATGCTGGGCTCCTTGTTTCAAGTTAGTTTCTTATGAATGCCTGTGAGAGGCCAAGAGAACAGGGACTTGACATGTCTGTGTGCAGATCATAGACAGTGGAGGGAAAAGTCAGGGATAAGTTTATAACAAGGCTGAACTCAACCTGAGGGTAAGAGCAGGGGCTCTTGACCTGGAAGTAGTAGGCTGGTTTCTGGTCTTCATTTCTAAGAACGAGGGGCAGCACAGGCCAAAAGCAACAACTTGGGTGAAGGACAGAAGCTACAAGAATATGAAGTTTTGAGAACTGTTTTTTACTTCCAATTACTCTCATTTCTTCATCCAGGAGTGGCTGCGTGATATCAAGGAAGGGGTCACTGGCTTCACGAAGAAGGGAATTAGCACCCACGGCAGACTTCCTGTGCTGATGAGGAGGTCGAAAAGGCTGGGAGGCTCCGAGAATGCCCTGGATGGGCCATGCTGCTGGCCCTGCTCTGTGAGATCACCCGCCTGATACCTTCCGTGTGTTCTGGGTTGGAAATGAACTCACTAGAGCGAATGTTAGAAATAAACTTATTAGATAAGCTCCACAGTTTGGGTTTGAATTTCCCAAGCAGCCATGTAGAGGCAGCTGACAAAGTAAATGTCCACCACACTGCCTCGGTGGTAATTATGTTATACACAGCAGCCTTTCAAAGGTGGGAGCTTCTGCTCACCAGCTTCAGAAAGAGAAAGAGAAAGAAGAAGGAAGAGAACAAGGGGCCTGGTTGCTTCTACCCAATACAACGGTGCCTTCTGGATGGCAGAAGCCCCCTCTTGTCCCCACTGTCCTGCCTACTGTTAGTTACAGCTTCAAGGGCAGCCTGCACACTGGGAGGTGCTTCATTGCTCACAAGCAGCTGGGGCACAGCAGTGGGTGCTGGCAGTTAGTTGGTCAGGTCATTTACTGGCCACAGCAGAAAGCTGGTCTCTGATGCGGCCCAGCCCATCTAACATGGTGTCCAGAGTTTCTTTACTCAGCTCCATGGTGACAGCAGAGGTGGAGGGTTTGTCTCTACACAGACTGGGATCTTCCTGGATCTGAAAAGAGAACATGGCCCAGAAAAGTCAAAGCTGCCTCTCTTCCTGACTTCCTTTCAGTGAGCCCTGGAACTGCAAGCTGGACTCAGCTCTGCTGAACCTCAGAAGAAAAGCTCTTTGCTAAGAGCTATAGAGAGTACTAGCTCCTGAGTCATACAGCAACTGGGAGGAGTGAAGCAGATGCCTCAGTCGCCTGGCTTAGCTTCTATTTGTAACAAGAGACTGAGTGGATAGTAGAGAAGGCCCAACCAAAGCTCACACACCTCTCTAACACCCTCTCAGCACTCAAGTGAGAAAACATTGTGTGTTTACATCAGTACTTTGAGAAGTACTATTTTTAAAAATAGTGTGCTTTCCATCTGCTTTATCATTTTAAAATTTCTACTTTTAATGTATGTTTTATCATGTCCATAATATGTTAATAAGGTAGTATATGCATACCTTGTAAATAAACACACGCATCTGCAAGATGCTAATCTTTTCAAATTGATGGGCTGGAAGTCCCCAAACATACTCGTGTTTTAGCTGACCTACTGGGTGCCATATCATGGCTGCCCCTTCTTTCTGACAACCATGACAGTGCACCTACCTTCATCAGAAGCAAGCAGGTGGGGACGGCCATGCGGCTGATGCTGTCTGAGGCGGTTTTGATATCCACTCTCCAATCCAGGTCGACCAGGCGTGGCAGAGAGACTGTGGAGGAAACATCTCAGCTCAGAGCTCATGCCACTCATGTCTAGCTAGGCTTTACCCCATGACAGGTGGCTCTGAGCTGTGTACATGCACAAGGCGTTCGATCTATGCAGCAAGTCTCGGAGAGAGACAGATGGGGCCCAAGACGCACAGCAAGTCATGGCCTCCCCCACTGCTTGGTGCCACCCTGCACTTAGTACTGACTCACAGTGGGCAGCATCACCAGGCTTCCGCCCAAACACCCAGTCTTCCAGATGTCAGGACAGAATGAGAAAGTGACACAAAGCCACAAGAGAAGTCATGGTCCGAGGCTTGGGAAATGTGTAGCTTTAGCAATAGTGGTATGAGTTCTTGTTTTAGAGATAAATAGACTTGGCCTGCACATAGGTTCTATCACTTGTCTAACCTCTATTTGCTCATCTGGAGAATAGGGATAATCTTGGCTTAGTTCACAAGGCTATTAGGAAGACAAAATGAGCGAACACGCAAATAAACTGCTCCAGCAGTGTTACTGACGCAGAGTGAGTAATGACCCTTTTAAACACATATTTTTAATCAGTCTTTCAAACTAATTTCAACTAATGCTCATTTTCCCCCAATTAAAATACAATTATTTTAAGTACTTCACTTTCTGCTTTGGATATTTCTTGTTTTAACAGCAGATCTATGGGAGGGGACCCAAGAAAACTCTCAGTATTTATAAAAAATTGTATTTATTCTTACACGTTTAAACTTCATTCACCTTCAAAAGACTCTCTGTATGATGCAATATACCTATCGAGATGCTTTTTCCATTGCTCAAAACAGTTTTCAAACTCATCAATTTTGATGCCTTTTAGTGCTTCTGCCACTTTTTGTTTCGCCTCTTCCATAACAGCAAAACATTTCCCTTTGAGGACTTTTTAAATCCAGGGAAACAAAATAAAGTCACTCGAGGAGATCAGGTGAATAGAGAAAGAGGGTCATGGGGGTCATGCTATTTTTGGTCAAAAACTACTGAACACTCAGTGCGGTGTGGGCAGCTGTGTTGTCACGGTGGAAGACCGTCACCTGTTTGCCACAACTCAGGATGTTTCTTCAGCAAATCATGATGCAACCTTCTCAAAACTTCCAGAAAAAAACAGATGGGTTCCTAGTTACCTAGCAGGAGAAGCCTGTATTACAAGGGGCTCACTCTTCAAAAGATAATTGTGGTATTTTTTGGGGGGGGGTATCTTCTCCTTATAATAATGTTTATAATCAGAAAAAAACATTTTAAAAATGAGATTTAAAAAACATAACACACAGAGGTTAGGTTGGGACTAGAATGGTCACTTTAGTTTGTGTTAAGATCTCTGGTCACCTGGAAAATTTAGAGCTGGGCCTGGGGGAGAGGAGTAAGGAGGGAGGGGCAGACTTGTTGGTACTCACTCTGATTTGCTTGGGCTTCAGTTCTCCAGGTAAATCTGCATAAGTGGAAAAGGCGAGGAAAAAATAATGGAAAAGGGATGAGATGGAGTCTTCTGGCAATGAGGGAGGCTCTTGGACCTGGCTTGGGCCCTTTCTGCGATCTTCAGACCCATGATCATCTGCTAACAGAAAAGGGCCGCAGAAATCCTTCCCTCCAAGAAGCAGTCTTTTTGTTTATGCTTAAAAGCTCAGTAGTGTTAAGGTCATAAGTGATGTTAGTTTTCACAGTTAGGACAAAAAAAAAAAGAAGAAAAAGTTTAATGCACCGTTATCTTATTGTGCCATTGTTCTCAAAGATAAAACAGGTCAATTTATCTTTTCTTCATAAAACACCTTCTACACAGAGTATTGTATTTTCTGCAAAAACACATCCAAACAGACCTAATGCTATAGCAAACAGAGTAAAATGTGATAACGCATGAGAAATTTCTTAATAAACAACAAACCCTTAGTAAATAGGCATTATCAGCTATTGCTATTAGGTCTATTCAAGCCTTCTGCTAAAGAGTTAATCAAGTCTGCTTAAATTCTATGTTTAAAAGGATCTGCCCAGCCAAGAAAATACATAGCTAATTCACAAAAGAAATTAAAATGACCAATAAACAGGTGAAAAAGATATTCAACATCACTACACTGAAATAAGGTCTTACTTACCACTTGGAAAACTGGGAAAAAGTATAAGAAAAAATCCCCTCAGTGAAGGTGTGGGGAGAGGGGCACACTTGTGTCCTACTGATGGAAAAATAGATGGTACAATCTTTTTAATGGTCAACTGAATAATATAAGACCATAGCCTCAATATGCCCATCATCCTTACCACAGTAAGGAAATAATTAAGCACGTGAGCAAAAATTTCACTATAAATTATTCACTAAAATGAAAAACTGCCAATAGCCTCAATGTCCAACACTAAGAAATGCTTAAATTAAATTACACATAATTTCTTCATACAGCAGAATATATTTAACCATTGCACTGATATTGAAGGTAAACTTGATCTGAAATGTCATTATTGTTAATATTGTTAACTGAAAATAAGCAAGTTATAAAATGGCATAATCTCATTTTTATTTTTTAAAAAATCACCTTCTCTCTATATGTATAAAGATAAAAAAATTAAGTCCTTAAAGGTTTTCTGTTAAGGAAATAATATTGCTATCCTCTGGCTGGTGAAGCTGTAGATGTCTTATTTTCTTTTTGCTTACTGTGCTTTCTAATTTTTCAACAAGGAACATGTTATTACTTCTGGAATAGGAAGAAAAATAATAAAAACATATCAAAGTTAGAAGGAACTCTCAAGAAATGAGCACTTACACGTGTTCTAGGATGATTTTTGTCAGCAGATTTTTGAGGTTTTGGTGGAAATTTTCTGGAAAGAGAGCCAGAATCGCCTCGGCGGAGGACAGGTCACGGAATGCCACCAGCCTAGTGAGGCAGTGTAGAGCCTGAAGCAGCTGCAGGATAAACAGGGCCGCTTTGTAGCTGCAGGAGAAGCAGGGGGCAGGCGGCACGAGGCAGGGGCAGGGCTCTAGCCCCACACTCCTGCACACTATCACAGTCATTCAATCAAGTCACCTGAGTCCAGAGGCCTCTGTGGCTGACATTGATGCCCCACATGCCTCTGCCCTCCTCTGAGTTCACCTGTTGCTTTAGAAGACAGATGCAGCTGCCTGACCAAGGAAGTTGTCGGCTCGCCGGAAACTCTCTACTTATGGGTGGATGGCCAATCTATCACTTTTCCTTCTCCTAGAGAATCTGACCTTCAGTTAACTTTCTAGTGCTGATTCCCTGGTAATGTGAGAGAAGTAGAAAGTCAGCTGTGTTCCTAGGCAACACTATCTCTCCAGTCTCTGGACTGAGGACTAAAGGAACACCAGGGGTGGGGGGGGACTCTAGCTTTGAGCTTCCCTGAGTGTGGCTACAGGCTCCTTTTGAGAACTTAAAGTTGTGCTTACTGAACTGTGACAAGAAATACTGGCTCCTGTGGAGTGTGGGCTTTGAATTCAGGGTGACAGAAGTCTCACATCCTTGTCCCTAAGCTGTCACTTGGGAGGGCAAAGACAACAAACAGCTTCTGTCTGACTGTGTGGGAAGAGGAATGCCTGTGCCTGACCCTTCCTTGCTAAATGCCATGTTCCCATCCTAGGTTCCTCCAAGGGAATCTGTAGCTTGGAAGTGTAAGTACGGCTTATGGTCACCTTGTGAATAAAATGATACTTAGCTCAACCTACGACAACTCTCTGGACATAAATTTCCCTGCTGTAGAGCTTTCTTTGATACCACTAGGGATTGCTTGATTGCAGACAGACACAACCCAGAAGTGAGGGAAGGTTAACCCTTCATCAGTGGGGGTGGGTAAATGTACCAGCTTCAACGTCCTCCAGGGAAACAATTCTGAGAGATATCTACTTGATTTCTTACAGAATTCCAAGATTGAGGACCTGTTTCCCACAGCACTAATTGCCCACTAACATATTCTCTTACTGGTTTGCCTTCCTTCCCTGATTGCTTTCCCCCACACCCTCCTTTATGTTTTCTAGAATCACCTCTCAAATAACCACCTACACCCAAGCCTCATGATCCACTTTTGGGGGACCCTAAACTAAGTCTCCAATTTATGTCCATAATCTTGCTTCTGCCTTTTACTTTTCTACAGTTGATTTCAATAAACAAAGCTCCAAACTTAATAATAATAATAACAACATAGGCCCATTTGGATGAAGAAACTCCTGTTTAAAACGTATTAGCCTTGGAAAGATGGAGCTGTCACTGCTATATAACTGAATATGAGTCAACTTACTCTTCCTGTTGGCCATCTATGGAGATCAGGCAAGTGAGGGGAAGGGGCCCTCTCTGTGGGACAGAAGGATGCAGAGGGAATGAGGTACACAAAGCAGCCCTGAGGACACCAGATGGAACCTAGTGGCACATACTACCAAATCTCACTCAGGCCTCAAAGTTTCTGTCCAAAATTCCTAAAAAATCTACCCTGATCTATCCAACTGACAATTTATCAGTATCATCAAGTTACAGGTTGGAAAATAAAATCACAAAGGATTGGTTTTTGTCCACATCGTCTAGGAAATAAATCTGCAAAGAAAATTGTCGGGAGCTCTGATTCTGAGTATAGTTCCTCCATCCATGTCTTGTTTATCAAAGTTTGCTGTAAATGTCAATGGACATTTCCTTGGACATGGCAATGACTAGGAAATCAAGAAAGAGACCAAGAAGTTAAGATGGCCTGTTGTCAAAGGGAATTTCTGACCATACTTACTTGCTCTGCTTCCTTCTGGGTCACAGATAAGTTGGAACACGTAATATCCAAGAGTTTTTTTGAGCCAAGGGCTGAAGTGGAAAAGCTCTCTTGACACAGTTGTCTGACAACATCTTTCGAAGAGGCCTATGAATTCACAGATGGGGGAAAAAAACAAACTCAGACTCTGAAAACACACATTTTTTAATAACCCCCCCAAAACCCCAGAATTATCTTTTTGAGGGTGGACCCCTTGTAGTATAGGCTTCCCCGTTAAGTAAGTGTTCTAGGAACGAACTGGTATCACTATATCAGCTAGTGTTGTTTAAAAAGGCTGCATTTAGCTTCAGTAAATTTATTTATTTATTTTTTTAGATTATTTCAATGAATTTGCCCATTTCATGATGGGTGACTTACGAGTGCACCTGCCCACACCTCACTGAGTATTCAGTCATTTTTGATGAAAAATGGCATATCTCCTGTGCCCCACCCTCCCTATTCACCTGATCTGGCCTGAGTAACTTTTTTATTTATTTATTTCCCTGGATGAAAAAGTCCTCAAAGGGAAATGTTTTGCTGTTGTAGAAGAGGTGAAACAAACAAACAAACAAACAAAAATAGCAGAAGCACTAAAAGGCATCAAAATTGACGAGTTCAGAAACTGTTTTGAGCAGTGGAAAAAGCATCTCAATAGGTGTATTGCATCAAACGGAGAGTACTTTGAAGGCGACTAAAGTTTCAACATGTAAGAGTAAATAAACAACTTTTTAGAAATAAATTCCAGGTTTTTTGGGGTCATCTCATACTGTCCTAGTCATTGTGTAACACCTTTGAGAATTAAGATTTAAAGATATCTAAGACATTTCTGTTTCTGGGAAGATTAAGTAGATGTACTTTTCCCTAGTCCTTCTGCCAAGTACAACTAAAAGCCCCGACGCTATATAGAAAATAAATATAAGAAAACTCTGAAAGGGGTAAAGAAGAAGGCAGATCTGCTAGTGACCCTGCAACCCAAGGAAAGACATAATGGTCAGTTCCCTGGGTTTTCTTTTTGCCTCATATGTCCCAGACTTTGAGATGAAGAAGGCAACCTGGAAAAGACAATGGGTACAGGAAAAAAGTTCCAACAAATACTTGCTCTTTCTAGCCAAAGGACCAAGAAAAGAGCAGCCTAACAAGTCAGAAAATTTTTATTTATTTATTTATTTATTTATTTTGAGTTGGCATCTCTCTCTGTTGCCCAGGCTGAAGTGCAGTGGCATGCTCACAGCCACTGCAGCCTCAACCTGCTGGGCTCAGGCAATCCTTCCCCCTCAGCCTTCCAAGTAGTTGGAACTACAAGCATGCACCACCAGGCCCAGCTAACTTTTCGATTTATCGCCAAGTTGCCCAGGCTGGTCTTGAAACCGCAGACTCAGGCAATCCTATCACCTCTGCCTCCCAAAGTGTTGGAATTATAGGAGTGAGCCACCACGCCTGACTTTAGAAAACTTTTGGATAACTGCTTTACACTAGCCAAATATCACAGGAAGAACTGAGGTCCCACCTATGTCAACAAAGACTGAGTGGAAAGCTTAGACTTGAGTGAGAAGCCTTGTAAGGCTGCAATGAGGTACCAACACCCCAACTGGGGTGGTGTCAGAGAAGGTCAAGTAGGGAGCAAGGACCTTTATCCTCACCAGCTAGTAACACACCCCTCCATCTTATAGTACCAGCAGAGACCACGTAGGGCCAGAGTTTCTACCCTTACCCAGTAGTAACAAGGAACCCCTGTTTTCAGGCATCAATAGAAGCCAGGTGGGGAACCTGGACTTCTATCTCTATCTGGTAGTAATAAGGTGGCCGCTCCTTCCCATGCCTGAGCAGTATCAGAGAAAGGCAGCTTAAAACATAAGATTTAAATACAATTCGGTCTCAGAATACAATATGAAAATGTCCAGGTTTCAACATAAAAAAAATCACTCATCAGATAAGGAACCAGAAAGATATCAAACTGAATGAAAAAAGATAATAGATGTCAACACCAAGATGACAGATGTTAAAATTATCTGACAAATAATTTAAAGCAGCCATGATAACAATACTTCAACAAGTAATTTAGAACATGCTTGAAATAAATAAAGTTCTCAGCCAAGAAATAGAAGATATAAAGAAGAATAAAATGGAAATTTTAGAACTGAAAAATACACTAATCAAAATAAAAAGCTCAGTAAATGGGTTAAGCATCAAAATGGAAAGGATAGAGGAAAGAATCAGTAAGCCAGAAGACAAAAGAATAGAAAACATCCAATAGAAATAACAGAGAGAAAATAGACTGAAAACAATAAATAGCACCTCAGGGCCATGTGGTACTATAATAAAAGATCTAACAATCATATCACTGAAGTCCTGGAAGGAGACAGTAAAAGAGTGCAAGACTGAAAAAGTATTCAAAGAAATAATAGATGAGAACTTTCCAAGTTACTTAGAGACATTATTCTATACATTTCAAGAATGCAAGTGAACCCTAAACAGGATAAATAAAAAAAAATCCAGTCCAGGGCATATCATAATTAAACTTCTGAAAATGAAACACAAAGGAAAAAACTTCAAAGCACAGAGAGAGAAATGACACCTTACCTATACGGGAAAAACATTAGAAAAATAGCAGATATCATATTCAAAACCATGGAAACAAGAAGTGTTACAATAATTTTTGGTGCTGAAGGGAAAAACTGTCAACTTGAATCCTACAGCAAAAATATTCTTCAGGAATGAAGAGGCAATCAAGACATTATCAGATGAAGGAAAACTAAGAAAATCTATCACAGCATCTACTCTAAAAAAATCATTAAAGTAAGTTCTCTAAATAGAAATGAAACAATAAAACAAGGAATCTTGGAACCTAAAAGTAAAAGTCAGGGCTCTCCAAAGAGACAGAACAAGATATATGAGAGAGGATGTATTGGGGGAATTGGTTCACACAATCACAGAGCCCTTGATAGGCCATCTGCAAACTGGAGGATCAGAGAAGCTGAAGCATGGCTCAGTTCAAGTCTAGAAGCCTCAGAACTAGGGAAGCTGACAGTGCAGCTCCCTGTCTGAAGTTGAAGCCTCAGAAACACTAGGAGGCTATTGGTATGAGTCCCAGAGCCCAAAAGCTAAAAAACCAGGGGTAGGAGCAGAAAAGGTGTTCCACTCCAGAAGGAAGAGAGACAGCAGAAATAGAATCCCCCTTCTTACATCTGTCTATACCAGTTAGTCTCCCAGCCGACTGTATGGTGCCCATCCACGCTGAAGACAGGTCTTCCTCTCCCAGTTCATTGACTCATACATACATAAATTTCCTCTAGAAATGTCCTCACAGACACGTCCAGAAGCAATGCTTCAACTATTATCTAGGCATCCCTCAATCTAGTCAAGTTGAAATCTAAAATTAACTACCACTGGAAGAAAGAAGAAGGGCAAGCAAAAATATGGATAAACAGAAAGAATAGACTTTCTTCTCTTAAGTTTTCTAAATTGTGTTTGAAATATGAAGCAAAAAAAAAATTTTGTTTTTTTAATTTGAGTCTCACTCCGTCGCCCAGGCTGGAGTACAGTGGCATGCTCATGGCCACCCCAGTGTCGACCTGCTGGGCTCAGGCGATCCTTCCACCTCAGCCTTCCAAGTAGCTGGAACTACAGGCACGCACTACCACGCCTGGCTAATTTTTTTTATTTATTGTAGAGATGAGGTCTCGCCAAGTTGCCCAGGCAGTTCTCGAACCCATGGCAATCCCCTCACCTCGGTCTGCCAAAGTGCTGGGATTACAGGCTTGAGCCACTGCACCCGGCCTGAAGCAAAAAATTTTAACCCTGATATGGCTTTAAATAAATGCAGAGAAAATATTTAAGACAATTATATTATAAATGAGGGACGGTAAAGAGATGTAAAGAGAAGTCAGGTTTCTATATTTCACCATAACTGGTAAGATAACGCCACCAATAGACTGTGATAAGTTACATATATGTAATGCAATAACTAGAGCAACCACTAAACACTACAAATAAATCAAAATGGTATTCTAAAAAATGTTCACATAATTCATGAAAAACAAACTCCAAGAGAATAGAAAAAAATAAAATGGCAGACTTAAAGCCCTAACACAGGAATAATGGTCTTAACTGTAAATAGTCGAAATAAACCAATTAAAAGACAACAATTGACAATAGATTAAAAATATGACTAAAATGCTATCTATAAGAAATTCTCTTCAAATATAAGAAATAAGGCAGGCTGAAAGTAAATGGATGAAGAAAGAGATTCAAACATTAATAGGAATGGCTATATTAATATCAGGTAAAGTATATTTTACTGGCAAGGAAAATTACCAGAGACAGAGAGGGACATTACATAATGATAAATGACTCTATCCACCAGGAAGACATACTAAATGTGTATGTACCAAGCAACAGAACTTCAAAATATATGAAACAAAAACTGTCAGAACTGTAAGGAGAAACAAACCAATCAACAAATATACTTGGACAGAGTTCAACATTCTTTTATCAGCAATGGTGTATCTAGACAGTCATATTCAACAAGGATATAGAAGAACTCAACAACACCATCAATCAGTCAAATTAACTTATATGGAACAATACCTAGTAAAGGCAGAATACATATTCAAGTGTGCACCAAATGTATAGTAAGATAGATCATATTATAGGCCATAAAACAAACTTCATTAAATTTAAAATAACTGAAATAACCACAAGAGTATGTTATGGAACTAAACTAGAAATCAGTAAGAGAAAAGTAATTTAAAAATGTACAAACACTTAAAAACTTAGTATTTCAATATTTGAAAATAGTACACTTCTAAATAATCCATATGTCAGAGAAAGTCTCAGGGAAATTTTAAAAACTACACTGAAAGAGTGAAAATGAGAAAATAACATGTCAACATTTGTGGGACACAGCCTAGAAAGTGGTGATAAGAAAATGTATTGCCTTAAATCTATGTATTAGAAAAGAGGAAAATTCTCAAATCAATAATCTAAGCTCCCACCTCAAGAACCTAGAAAAAGAAGAGCATAATAAGACCAAAGGAAGCAGAATAAAGGAAATAACAATAAGAGCATAAACCAATGAAATGCCTGTAATCCTAGTACTTTGGGAGGCC